GGGCTCCCAGCCCAAGGGCGATCTAGTCTTTTAGACAGCCCTGGGAAAGGGGCGCCTGTGCCCTCGCACAGTGCCCCGCCCTGAGGGCAGGGAGCAGCCGCTTCTCTGCTGTGCTGGCTGTGCCAGCTGGGCCGAGTGGTGGGGACTGTGGGGCCAGGTACCGACAGTAAAGGAGCAGGGTCAGGAGGTCAGGAGACTGTGATAAGGAGAGAAGGAAAGGATAGTAGCTACTTTGAGATATTATGAACATTACCAAGGAGGAAATGTCTTAAAAAAAAAAAAAAAAGGAAAATCTGTAGCCAATTACAAATTTATTTAGCAAATGAAAACATACACCACGTTTTGATTTATCATCTGTAATATGGGGATAACCCACTCTTAAGGCTTTTGAGAGAACTAAATGAGATAATGCTGACTGAAGTATTAGTAACATAGTCCCTAACACCTAATACAGAATCATTATATGTATCTTGTTGTTGTTATGGTTGACATAATTCGATATTTTGGAAAAGAGGTAGGAGAGGGAAATGCTTTATCTACGTCACTGTGCCAAAGGCTCAGCTATATATAAAAGAGTTAGCTTTTTGCTGCTTGTAAGACAAAGCAGCTTTGTTCAGTTTAATTTGAAATTGTTTTTCTAGGCTTCATTTCCACTCTCCTCATGCACATAGTTTCCTTGAACAGTCATTTGACTTTTTCAATATAGCATTTTAATTACAACCTCTGATCCTTTCTTTGCCAAAAGGTTTGTGTTTTCATCACAAGATGGTATGGTTATCCCAACACCAACTTTTCTTTCTGTTCCATCAGTATTGCATTGGCCTGACTGACCCAGCTCCAAGGGGTCACCTATACACCCTGCATGAATTAACTCCATTGATGTTGTCTGCTCCCATTGTAGCTAATGGCACTGACTCAGCCTTCCATGTGCTTGCTGCTAAGCCAGCCCATACTGCTCTAGCACCCGTAGCAATGCCTGCGCGTGAAACCAACCCTTGGGCCCATGCCCTTGATGCTGCTAACAAGGGAATTGCAGCCACACATTCGGGTAAGGTGGCCACAAATGGTGGTGAGGATTCTGGGATCAGATAAGCGACCCTGGTTTGAAAATCAGCCATTTACTTGAGAGGGTAACCAGGGAGGAGTCCTTTTAGGAGAAGTGTCTTCCCTCTTGGAAATAAACTACTATTAAGAAAGGATGGGGAAGGAGAAAGAACTAAAGAGGTTAAATTGACCATTTTAAGACTATCAAACAGAACTACCCATAGAACTTTCATAAAATACATATCCCTGGGCCCTGCGGGAGTCCGTCACTGGATTTGGAGATATGTGGACATGGCCGTAGGGTGAGGGGGCCCTGCCTCCTACAATGGCACGCCTTAAGAAAGAGCTATAAAAAACATTTTATTTTCACTTTCCTGTACTTTCTAGTTTTTCTATAATGAAACTTTAACCATGAAACCAAAAAACTGTAAATAGTAATAAAGGCAGTTCACCAGAAAGAACGTGTGTGTGTGTGTGTGTGTTAGAGCAGAAGGTGAGTCACCCTGGGCCCTTTGGAGCATGTGCAAGGTGGTTTCCGTACCACGGATGAGCTACAGCAGCAGGGAGGGGTTTCTGGTGCCAGCAGCTGCCTTGGTTCAATGCGGCTGAGCCATAGCTAGACAGCTCCGCAACGTGGCTGAGGCGGCAGCGCGGTCCGACAGGTTCTCTGTCCTACCACGAAACTGCCAGTACCAGAATAGCCCAGTAGAGGGATTCGTTCCACATCAGGATCATTCAAACAACCAGGGTTATCCGGTGAGGAAAGAAGTCCCTGAAGACTGATTCTTTTGTCTCTCTCCATGTTGTTGCTTCCAGGGACCGAATGGGCTCAATCTTCCGGTGCTGCCTCTCCAGGTCTCTTCCAGGCTGGTCACAGACGTACTCCCTCGGAGGCCGATCGCTGGTTAGAAGAGGTGTCCAAGAGCGTCCGGGCTCAGCAGCCCCCAGCCTCAGCTGTCCCTCTGCAGCCAGTTCTCCAGCCGCCGCCGCCCACTGCCATCTCCCAGCCAGCGCAGCCTTTCCAAGGGAATGCATTCCTCACCTCTCAGCCCGTGCCAGGGGGTGTGGTCCCACCCCTGCAGCCCGCCTTTGTCCCCGCCCCGACCTATCCTGTGGCCAATGGGATGCCCTATCCAGCCCCTAATGTGCCTGTGGTGGGCATCACTCCCTCCCAGATGGTAGCCAATGTGTTTGGCACCGCAGGCCACCCTCAGGCTGCCCACCCCCATCAGTCTCCCAGCCTGGTCAAGCAGCAAACATTCCCTCAGTATGAGACAAGCAGCGCTACTGCCAGTCCCTTCTTTAAGCCTCCTGCTCAGCACTTCAATGGTTCTTCAGCTTTCAATGGTGTAGACGATGGCAGGTTGGCTTCAGGAGACAAGCACACAGAGGTTCCTACAGGCACCTGCCCCGTGGATCCTTTCGAAGCCCAGTGGGCTGCATTAGAAAGCAAGTCCAAGCAGCGCACTAACCCCTCACCCACCAACCCTTTCTCCAGTGACTTACAGAAGACATTTGAAATTGAACTGTGAGCAGTCCCTATGGCTTATGTATTTTCTCTGTACTTAGGCAACGGGTGGGGTGGAGGTCAGAGCAGACTTTGCGTCCCTGATCAGTACACTTTTCACTAATCCCAAAGGTCCCAAGGAGCATGTCCAAGCACGGAGTGCTGTGCGGGTGATTTTGCAAAAAGTGGAGAAAACCATTCCTAGAAAAGAGCTGTCCTAGTTAAGCTAAAGAAGTCAAGAAAATGTAACCCTCTGCCCATTCCTCCTGCCTCAGCCCCTTACAAATCTCTGGCAACAGAGAGGCAGATGTATCTGAACAGGAATCTGTATTCAAAGCACATTTACTGGAATATAACACAACAGGAAGCAAAACGACCTCCTTTTGTTTTTCAGGCCATGCACCCGCCTCCTGTCAGTACTGGCCTGTCTTAGAGGTCAAGAACAGGGCGGCCTGTGCTTGGCCTGCGGACGAGAGGCAGGCGGTGTGGCCAGAATCCCCAGGAGGGCGCACCAGCAGCTGCCCAGCAGAGCTATATTTTAGGGGGTAAAGTTGAGCTTCCATTTTGAGTAAGAATAAATATTATAAATATATATCAAAAAAGCCAAAATCTTTATTTTTATGCATTTAGAATATTTTAAATAGTTCTCAATATTAAAAAGTTGTAAGAGTTGTAAGTAATCTTGCCAAAGGTAAAAGGGTTAACTGTAAGAAATTGTACATAAGATTGATTTATCATTGATGCCTATTGAAGTAAAATGAGGAAAAGCCGGAGATGCAGATGGGATCCCTAGCTTATTTGGTGTCAGTCTTTGTAAGTAGCACATTGCAACAACAATCATGCTTATGACCAACACAGTCACTAGGTTGTAGTTTAAATAAAGAAAATGAAAGACTAGTATTGTCCTGGTTTTAAACCTATGATGAAATTCTAATGTCATTATTTTAATGGACGCAATCTAAATGTGCTCTATAGAGAATATGTATTTTCCTTTATATATTGCTGCCGTTTCCTTATGTTAATCCTTTACTTAACACTAAGGTAACAATGACATCATATCCATAGACTGGAACGCAGGTTACTGTGCTGGTTTGTCATGTGGGCCTGCCTTGGTGGGTTTTGTTTTGTCCTTTAAATTTTGTTCCCCCAAGTTTTGCGGGGATGGAGTTCCTGGTTTGATCAGGGGTGTGCGTGTGTGTGTGTGTGCGCGTCTACCCTCGTCCCCCCTCCCCCGTGGTGAGCAGAACACCCCGTTGCCAGCAGCAGCCACTTGATTTCTGGTAACAACGCGAGATCCCATCTCATTTTTACTTTTGAACGTTGGCCTTACAATCAAATGTAAGTTATATATATTTGTACTGATGAGAATTTATAATCTGCTTTAACAAAAATAAATGTTCGTGGTAGAAGCTTCTGCCCATGAAGGGCTGTTCTTTCCCTTTTTTAAATTAGCAAATGAGTTGACTTTTAGTTCTTTTTGGTCTTCCTGTCTCTCCATTCTGCTGCTGCAGCAGATCTCTAGTTTGGTGATTAGAAAATCTTTTGTAGGGAGTATGTAAAGTTGATATTTGTATTCCTTCTTTGGCTTTGGTTGAGCCTAAGTGCATTTTTAACATCAGATTCTTGCTGCCCAAAGTGTAGCCTGGACAACAGCATCACTTCATCTAGGTGCTGGTTAGAGATAGAGTCTCAGCCCCACCCCATTCCTCTGAGGCAGAATCTGCATTTGAACAAGAGTCCCAAAAAGAAGTCCAGGGTTGGAGCAGTGATTCTCAACCTTGGTTATGTGTCAAAATCACTTGGGGAGCTTTTAAAACCCTCATGCCTAGCCCATACTCCAGACCAATTAAATTCACATCTCTTGGGAGTGGAATCCCAAGTTCAGTTTTTTAGAAGGCTCCTACTGTGGAAGAGGGTTGAGAACCAGTAGTTAAGATTGAACTTTACCCTCACCTTGGACTTCAGCCCACTTATTTGGTGACTAGTTCTAAGAAGAGCTAACTTCAAACTTACTTTCTGAAAATGTGTCACCAATAGACCAAATACTGGTTTAATTAAAGAACTGGGGAGTCTAAGAAAGTAGCCCTTATTTTCCAATTTCTATAGCAAAACCAGCCATGGTAAATGAAAAGGGATGCCCCTCAATATTTTTTTAAATGGAAAGAAAAGACCTCTGCTCCATGCCATGTTTTCTTTTTTGAATGACAGGTAGACCAAGAAGTGCCCCTCACCCAGCCAGCATGGTGGCAATTAAAACTTTCCCTGTAATACCTTTCTGTGTCCCCAAATAACCTCTGTCACTAGATCCAACAAGCCTTCTGAAGGATTTGTAAAAAGTTCTAATGGAAAGGGACCTCCTTTCCATTAGATGATCTAATGATGATCAGAACTCATCATTAGTTCTGATGAGCCAAACACATCACTCAGAAGCTCACTGAATCCAGGTGTCTTATTTTAGCAGTAGGGAATTGGAAATTCTGAGATAAAGATTGATTTCTGCAACTCAAGCCATTTCTGAAGCCACGTACTACATCACCCCGCTCCATCAGTCCTCCCATCTTGCTGGTGCCATTTTCAATAGTCTGGCTTTTATCTGGCAGCAGACATTTGCTTCAGAGATCCCTCCTTGAGGAGGAAAGGCCCCTTGTTGGTCCCAGCACAGGGCAGGCCCGTCGGTCAGCTCCGCACAGGCGTGAGGCGAGCCTCACAGCCAGCTCTGCGCATCCGCCTCAGGAGGAGGGCTTCCAGCCCCAGCTTCCCGATGAAAGTAAGGAGCCCTCCCAGTTCTTCCACACTCAGATGATACTGCAGCTGCTACTCTCACATCCCAAATCCCTGTACTGAGCCTTATATCTTCCACTTTGCTGAGAGCTTTCACAAACATTATGCTGTTAACCACATGCACAGGTGGGTTTGAGGCTGGTTGCTATACACTACCTAGAAGGGTGGGAGAGACTAGAGCAATACACCGCTGTGTGACCCCAGATGAGGTCTAGTCCTAGCAAAGAGCCCTTCCCTGTCACAGCAGGAGTTAGAGAGGTGTTAACTTTAAATCATCATGCACCTTCCTATCCAGCTTTAAATGAAGTGAGAACTCTGGTAGCTTGTTTTAAAACAGTGAACTGATCCTGAGTAACAAGTTATAGAAGGAATTTGTAAAGTAAAGGGCGTCCTTATCCAAACATTTATCTTCTTGACAACTCAGCAGCGACCTGTGGTCATGTCAGAAATGCAATCACTGCTAGGGACTCAAGAGGGAGGCTGGTACGGCTGCTGCTGAGGCTTTGGCTGAGGCGGGGTGAGGTGGCGCTGTCTCCAGAAGATAACTCCCTTTGCCAGCCATAGAGGGGAGAGCAAGAGTCTCTCTGCCCTTCTCCCCAGCCCTATGAGTTGTTTCGGAACTGGGGCTGGAGCCGGCCTTCATCCCTGCTGCCAGACCGGCTGAGCATGAGGCTGGACACGCGAACAACTGGCGCAGCAGAAGCTGGAATAATACTCATTGCCACAGAGCTGGGCCTGCAGGATCAGCTCACAGTTGGCCAGCTCCGGCTGGTCGATGCAATCCCTGCCAGGGTCCCTCTCCTGGGTGGCCTGTGCTGCAAAACAACAGAAGAGAGACACAGTGGTAAGGAAGCCCTGTGTGCGCTGAAAATTCTCACCCACCATTTCACTTCCTTAAGGGAAAAGTGGTTCTGTGGCTGTCAGATTCCCCCTCCCAACAAAATGCAGTCATTCTATAACTTTTCAACACCTGTATGTACAACTAACTACAAGGAGGGCTCACAGTTTCCACCCATTTTTTTTTCCAATTACAATTAACATATAATATTATATTGTCTATATTCCCTATGCTGTATTTTAAATACCTGTGACTGTTTTTATAACAGGCAATTTGTAGTTCTTAATCCCCTACCCTTTTTCACCCATCTCCCCAAATTCTATGCCCCTTGGCAATCATGTTTGCTCTCTGAGTTTATTTTGTTTTTTCAAATTCCACATATAAGTGAAATCATATGGTATTTGTCTTTGTCTGACTTCACTTAGCAGAGTACCCTCTAGGTCCATCCATCCATGTTGTCACAAATGGCAGATTTCATTCCTATTTATGGCTGAGAAATATTCCATTGTGTGTGTGTGTATGTAGATACATATATACATAATCTGAATACACACACATATATATGTATGTATATATATATCACATCTTCATTCAATAATTTATTGATGGAGACTAGGTTGCTTCCCTATCTTGGCTATTGTAAATAATGCTACAATGAACACAGAGATACATATGTCTTTTCAAATTAGTGTTTTGGATTTCTTCAGATAAATATCTAAAATTGGAATTGCTGAGTCATATGGTAGTTGTATTTTTAATTTTTTGAGGAACCTTCATACTGTTTTCCACAGTGGCTGCACCAATTTACAGTCCCACCAACAGTGCATGAGAGTTCCCTTTTCCCTGACATCCTCACCAACACTTATTGTTGATTTTTTAAATATTTTTAAATCATGTTTATTCTATTACAGTTGTCTCAATTTTTCCCCCTTTGCCCCCCTCCACTCATCCCACCCCCATCCCCCGCTCCCACAGTCAGTTCCCACACTGTTGTCCATGTCCATGGGTCATTCATACAAGTTCTTTGTCTAGTCCCTTCCCCTTCTTTCCACCATTGCCCTCTTTCCCCACCCCCTCTGGTCACTTTCAGTCTGCTCCATGTCTCCATGCCTGTGGTTTATTTTGTTTGTTAGTTTATTTTGTTGAATAGATCCCACTTATAGGTGAGATCATATGGTATTTGCCTTTTACCAACTGGCTTATTTCACTTAGCATAATATTGTCCAGTTCCATCCCTGTTGTCGGAAAAGGTAGGTGTTCCATCTTTCTTTTTAAAATGCAGATTGATTTTATTTTTTAAATGTCAAAATCAATTATAAAATATTAAAAAATTTAAAACATTATAAAGTTTAAGCAATTAAAACAACATGACATCAGCACAGAAATAATCAAGTAGCTCAATGAAATATAATGAGCATTCTAGAAACATATATCTAACAATGTAATATGATTAAATTTATATTTCAAATCAATGGGTAAAATAAGGCTTATTCAACAAATAAGGTGCATGGACCACTATTACTTGAAATAAAACAAATATAGAGCCCTATCTCACACATTATACAAGAAATATTCAGGTGAGTTAAAAATCAATATGTAGAACCTAAGGAGTTTTAGGAGAAAATACAAAATAATATGATTCTTACCCTGAAGTAAAATATTCAAACCCAGAAGCTATAAAGTAAAATATTGACAATATGACTATATTAAACACTTAAGACTATCCAGTAATATACATATAAAAAAAAGTTAAAGGACAAGTAATAGAATGGAAAAGTATTTGCCACACATCTAAAAAAGGGTTAATAGTTTCATTTTTTTTCTTTTAGGGAAAAAAATTCTACAAACCTTTAATTGATAAATGAATAAAAAATACTAAAAAGTCATTTAAAGATTTTTTAAAAATAATAGAAATAGATCCAATAAAGGAATAATAAGGAACAATTAAAATAACACATCATTGTCACAATCAGATTAATATGTATTAAAAAATATTGGTAATACCAAGTATTGGCAACTGTGAAAGGAACTAGGTATTCATAGACTCTTCTTCATCTTAAAGCAGTCCCTTTAGCTTATTTTGCAGTGCTGGTTTGGTGGAGGTATATTCTTTTAGCCTTCTTTTGTCTGGGAAACTCCTTATTTCGCCTTCCATTTTAATTGAGAGCCTTGCTGGGTAAAACAGTCTTGGTCGCAGGCCTTTGCTTCTCATTACTTGGAATATTTCTTGACACTCCCTTCTGGCTTGCAGTGTTTCTGTTGAGAAGTCAGCAGCTAGCCATATTGGGGCTCCCTTGTATGTTACTACCTCTTTCTCCCTTTAGGATTCTCTGTTTGTCTTTGATATTTGCCATTTTAATGATGATGTGTCTTGGAGGGGTTCCTCACTGGGTTCCTCTTGAATGGGACCCTCTGTGCTTCCTGGACTTGTGTGACTTTTTCTTTCCTCAAATTAGGGAAGTTTTCCATCATTACTTTTTCAAACAGGTTCTCTATCCCTTCTTCATCCTCTTCTCCTTCTGGTATCCCTATTAAACAGATATTATTATGTTTCAGGTTGTCCTGCATTTCTCTAAATGCCTCTTCATTCTTTTTTTTTAGTCTTTTTTCATTTTCTTGCTCTTTCTGGGAGGTTTTTTCTACCTTGTCCTCCAGCTTGCTGATTCAATCCTTGGCTTCATCTAGCTGGCTTCTGATTCCTTCTACTGTGTTCTTCAATTCAGAAATTGTATTCTTCATTTCCCCTTGTCTCTTATTGATAGTTTCTATGTCTTTTTTCATGCTGATATAGTTTGCAATAAGTTCCTTATAGCTTCTCTGTCGTTTTTTGTAATTCTCTCTGAGCTCACTGAGCTCATTGAGCTTCCTTAGAACCGTTGTTTGGAACTCAATATCTGATAGTTTACTTGCCTCAGTTCTCTTTCTGGGGATTCCTCCTTTTCCTTTGAGTGGGGGGCATTTCTTTGTCTTCCCGTTATTTGTGAGACTCTTCTTTTTTGCTTCTGCTTCTTAAATTGATCTGAATTGATTTCCTGACTTTGTGAGGTGAACTTCTATGGTAGGAGACCACTGTTTTTACTTTCTGGATCTGCCTCTGATGTCAGATGTTGTCCCTGTCTGACCTTAGGCAGTCTGTTCGAGACTCCCAGGAATCTACTGTTTGTGGCTGTCTCCTTCAGCTGTTAATCTAGTCACTCTGCACTCAGCAAGCTGCCTTAGATGGCTCAGGGCAGGGCAGAGTCCCTCCTGTGGGCGGGATTATTGGGTCCTGTCACGCTGCTGCCGCTCAGGGGGAGTGGTCTCTGCCTGAGCAAGATGGCTGCTGCTGCAAGGGGGATGAGTCAGCACCGAGATCCCTCTGGCTACTCCCTCAGTTATTTCCCCAAAGGCTCCTTCTCCAGTCTCTCCTCAGGCGTCTGTAGCCCACTCTGCCCCCACCTTTGCCGGAGACCAGGGTAAGTGGCTGCAAATAAAAATTTATGCATTGGCCCTTTAAACAGCTCTTTTGAGTCTAGCCGTCTGTCTCCGGCAGAGAGCAACCCTGCTGCTTTTCGCAGCTGGCTGTTTTCTGTATATTTTTGGGGCTCTGGTGCTGTGGGCTGGAAATCTCCACTTTTGGTTTAGACCCCACTCTTCTCATGGGGATCCAACTGGCCCTTTCAATATCCATCTGGTGCTGCCGCCTGTGGGCGCCCCGCCTGCCTTCTTGAGTCTCTATCGCGCTCCTTACCAGTTAGATTGTGCTAAAGCACATTCTTCTGTCTCCGAGGATATAAGTCTCCGATCTCGCTATTGTTTAGTTATTTGTTCCGGGTGATTTCTCCACAATTTAGTTGTAATTCCAGGTTGTTCCTGGGAGGCCAGTGTGACTTCCACTCACTCTTCCACCATCTTGATTCTCCATTCTGTTTGTAGATTTAATGAAGATAAACATTCTGACAGGTATGAAGTAATATCTCATTGTGGTTTTAATTAGCATTTCCCTGATGATTAATGATGAGTAACTTTTCATTTCTGTTGGTCATCTATATATCCTCTTTGGAGAACTGTATTCAGGACCTCTGCCCCAATTTTTAATTGGGTTATTTGGGGTTTTATTGGTATTAAGTTATAAGTTGTATGAGTTCCTTATATTTCTTGTATATTAACCCTTAATTGGCTGTATCATTGGTGAATATCTTCTCCCATTCAATACGTTGTCTTTTTGTTTTATCAGTGGTTTCCTTTGCTGTGAAAACACTCTTTAGTTTGATGTAGCCCCATTTGTTTCTTCTTTTGTTTCTCTTGCCCAAGGAGACATATAAAAAAATACACACACACACACACACACACACACACACTCACACACAAAGAGTGATGTCAAAGAGTTTACTGACCATTTTCTTCTAGGAGTTTTATAGTTTCATGTCTCATATTTAAGTCTTTAATTCATTTTTAGTTTATTCTTGTAATATGCTGTAGGATAGCAATCCAGTTCCATTTTTCTGCATGTAATCTGTCCAGTTTTCCCAACACTATTTATTGAAGAGACAGTCTTTTTTACCCCATGTGTGTTCTTGCCTACTTTGTGATAGGTTAATTAACCATATAGACGTGGGTTTATTTCCAGGCTGTCTTCTCTGTTCCATTAATCCATGTGTCTGTTTTTATGCCAGTATCACTTTTTTATTACTATAGCCTTGTAGTGTAGTTTGATACCAGGTAGTGTGATACCTCCAACTTTGTTCTTTCTCAAGATTGCTTTGGCTATTCAGGGTCTTTTGTGGTTCCATATACATTTTAGGATTACTTGTTCTAGTTCTGTGAAAAATGTCATTGGTATTTTGAGGGGTTGCACTGAAGCTGTAGATTGCTTTAGGTAGCATGGACATTTTAACAATGTAAATTCTTTTTTATCTATCAGCATGACATATCATTCAATTTATTTGTATCTTCTTCAGTTTCTCTCTTCGATGTCATGTTTTTCAGAATATAGGT